TTGATCGGATACCCTCTTGGCAGGATATTTCCCTACCCATTGTGTCTGCAAGTTCTTAATAAATAACTTGATTGTTGCCTCACCAGCACTAGGCAATGGTCTGTGAATTCCGAGCATCAACTCCACCTGGGAGCTTAAGAAATGCAAATTCTTGAGACATGTCCCAACTATCTTTGAAGGTGGGAACTAGTAACTCTAGGCCTCTCCAGAATTCTTATGCCTGCTAAAGTCTGAGCAGCATGCTCCTAAAACATTACCAGAAATGAATTTATAGACTCTGACTCATTTTTCATTTGATAAAAATGTGGTTATTCAACCAGTGCCAAAACACTTTGGCCAGGGGTTCTGCTGGTTGATTAAAATCTAAAAACAAAGCCAGCATAAAGCCTGAGCAGTGGCAAAGTCCAGACAAATGCCAAGACTTTTTTTAAGTTGCTTTGCTTATCACAGCTCTATCATAGTCTCCCAATGAAAAACAGCAAAAATAAACACTTGCAAAGTTATACAGTGTGATCAAACTCCCCTACACTACAGAAGTGATGGGTGTTAGGCAAGGGCTAGGGAGGTGTTGATATGTCAATTCTCCTTGATAATATAACTTGAATTTACAGAGCTCTCCATGACATTAATCCTTTATTCACTAATTAGATCCTTTACTCTTTCCACTAATACTTATTGAAGGCCTACTATGTGTGTAACTATTATGTCAACCATTGCAGAGTTACACAAATAATTCAAAGGCATAGGCTTTGCGCTCAAATTGCTGGCTATAATAGAGGAAGTACACAATAAATGTGCAGTTTTAAAAGTGATGCCATATGTGTTAACAAAGAGAAACACCAGTTGTCAGCCAGCCCAGCACATGAGCCCTAACTCAGCTTCCAGGCCTTGGAAGGCTTTCTGAAGGAACTGGTATGTGGGCTGAGTTCAGATGCACAAATGAGAGTTATTCAGGCTGAGGATGCAAGGAGAAGGGAAGGAGCAGACAATAGGGCAAAAGGACATTCCAGTGGAGGAAACTGCATTTACATCGGCCTTAGAACACCCTCATGAATTCCTCTTAAGACATATTAAGGTGTTTGAACTTCATCCTTGAGAAGGGGTGAAAGGAATTAGGGTGAGGGGCAGGAGGGCAGGAGGCAAGTTTGGCCAGAATGAACTGAAAAGATTTAAAGCGTCGAAATCGCCATAGTTTAACTTCTGTTTTGGAAAAATAGTCTGGCTGGACTGTATACAACCAATTGGAATGGGACAAGACTGGATGCAGGGAGACCCAGTAGAAGTTTTATGATTTGAACTAAGTCCCAGTGATGAAGGGAGAAAGGGTGGCTGCAAGAGGTTAAATGCCAAGAAGCAACAGGCTTGATGTCATGATGGATGTGTGATGGAAAACAAGTCTAAGATGGAACCTAGGTTGGGTCTTGGGACAACGGAGCTAGGGAATTTAAGAGTTGCAGTGGGATGAGGGAGTCAGGGAGTGGACAGCAGTAGTTGAGAGAGCAATGAGGACGATTTAACCTCAAAGAGGGGATATTTTTTGAAAGCTGGAAGTCTGTTGCTCTTCAAAGGCACACTGTGACACCACCAGCTCTGCTCTGGATGTTCCACAGATATTTCTGAGTAAGTGCACTCCACTGCACAAACCAAGAATCTGCAGAGCACTCTGGATTGAGGAGGCGGTGTGGCCATAAAACAGCTCTTTGTTCCATTACTCAGTTCAGTGAACCAAGGAAAGTCTGAAGACTGAAGACTCTGCCCCTAAGTTGCTCATATCCTCTGTATTTTTTCTTTCATTTGAGAAGTGGGAAAAAAATATTATATTAACCTACTTTGCATAGCTTCCCTAAGGAATTTCCACTTAAAGTACATATAGAACATTGTATAAATTGAATATGATCATAAATGCATAATAACAGACTTGCAAAACTTAAAAAAAAAAAAGATTCCTAATCTGTGAATTTTTTCACCAGTCTGGAACTTTTTTGAAGCCACAAGCTCTGAGTTTTATAAACTGAGTATTTACTACCCTGTCCCTCAGTATAAGCTCAGGGAGAATATAATATTTCCTCTTATGTAATTAAAGCAAGTAAAATCTTAACCTTAGAAACGTTTGCTTTGGGATTAGAAACCCAGAACACTTTTCATGCACTGCTGCTTCATGTTCTATTATCCCATTTTGATTAAAAGGTGATTTTTTTTTAGAAGGTGATATTTTGAAGGGAAAAATTGTTTGATTAGTTTCAGAGAATTTGAACTTGAGTCCCAGATTTGGTAGTGCCTATCTGGGTGGCCCTCAGGCAGGCCTCTCTGTCTCTTACTCCTCAGTGACTTCATCCGTACTATGGAATGAAGGTAATAGTTCTTGTTTTGCTCTCCTCACTGGCATCGCTTGACATTTACTTAGGACGGGTTTACTTAGGGCTTCCTATATGCAGCGCAGCTTGCTAGATTTGGTGAAGCAGGGGGAATCGATGGTATGGTTGTGGAGACGCATATTTAACTGGAAACATTACAAAACAACACGGCAGTGATCGTTCAAACAAATATAGAAGGACCAAGAACAGAACAACTAACAGCCTGGGCAAATCAAGGAAGGAGATACTATTTGTGCCAAAATCTTGAAGGATCTGGATGAATAAATGGGTAGTTGAAGGTCTTTGCATTCTGAATAGCATATAATAAAGACACAGGGTCATGCTTGCAGATTATAAGAGATAATTGTTACTATTAAGAATCATGTATATATATCAGTACTACTCAAAAAAGGATGCAAGTCTCAGGTAATCTTTTCCATCTACAAGGCCCATACCTTTACCCATCATTATTACCTCTTTAACCAAACTACGCAAATATACCCTGAAACACCCCAGAATGAGTGCTGTACACAAACTTTGTGGTCTGAAATACCGGAAAGGTTATGGCCCAAAGGATATTACCCAAGGGATCCAAGAGCAATGAATTGAAAAGGTGAGTATGAGTCAAAGTCTTAAGCGTTCAACAAAGTTCAAAGCCAAGGAATCCAAGCATCCATGCCAAGTCCAAAGGGCAGAAGGGAGACCACAAGATGGAAATGAAATCAAGGGTTAAGGACAGGATGGAAAGTGGCATGGCACCAGCTCATGAAAGGAGGAAAGGTCCTGGAATCTAGTACTGGAATGTGGTAACCTTTTTTTTTTTACTGGTCATCGAGCACATGGAATGAGTTGTGTATGGTCAATTTTATTTATTTTTTTCCTAGCTCTCTTTTTGCATTTCCTTAGTTCCACTTCTTGTATTACCTATATGATCTGTATCTTGGTTTAAAAAGAGTTCTGGCGTTTAAATCCAGCTTGATCTTCCCATCTATCTTTACCATTGCCCTATTTACCCCAGACATTAATTCATTCTACAGATACTCTAATTCTCTCCCTTTTTTATTTATTATAAAAGTTAATGTTTAGAAAAATGTATCCAAATTGTATTCAAATACTTACTAATGAAAGAGAGTGAACTATTTTCTTCTTATAAGTTTTTAAGATTTGAGGGGAGGGTTGGAAAATATAATACTCAGGATGTAGGGAAACAGACACTTTCACATCATTCGCACGGGAGTGAGAAAATTTGCGAATATCTTATAAATGATGGGGTGACTGCCCACTGATCAAATAGTTTTATTTACACCACTGAGCAAAATTTTGAGGACCAATACTTCATTTATCTATGTTCAAAGAAATATAAAATATAATAGTTGATACAGTTTATAGTCTAGTAGATTTTATAACTCTTAATAGAAAGTTTTTGAATATCCCATGTTGGTAACATAGTGAGAAAACAGACATCCTCTAGGACTACTAATGAGAATTAAAAATAGTCAGAGCTTTCTAGTGAGCAGTTTAACTACGGACGTAAAACATTAATAAATGTCTCATACCATTTGTCTCAGAAGTCCACTTCCAGACATTTAGCTTCTAGTTGGAGAACATTATGTCCCCACATTCTGACTGTCACAGAAACTCATTTCACAGTGAAGAAGTGCAGCAATGAATGTACACCCCTGGAAAAGAAAGGCTTCTAATGCTAATTTTAAATACTTCTGGACTCTAGGCTCTTTCCTTCTCTCATTAGTCAGAAAGTCCTAAATACTAAGTCTCACATTGTGCAAGAACTATACATTGGGCACTTCTAACCGTGTTTAGTTCAATTTCTTGCACGATGCCAACAACTCATGCCCTTTTCTTTTTTCTTAAGTATTAACTTATGTCTTTATTTGAGATTTATCTTGCTTTTCAATTGGGAATTTTCTTTTAATTTTACTGGGAAGGAGTTAAACATGTTTAAGATAAAATTAGGGTAGTGTAGAGCCTAGAAAAGCATTGTGTTCCAAATACATACATACTGTTAAAAATTAAAACAAAGTTAATCATTTCCTGTGTTTAATAACATTTTTATTGAGTTCTCTGGTCTGCAACTTACATTTTATGTGTTATGTTTTGTACAATATCTTAAATTGTACAAGAGTTTTATGAGATGTGATATTATTTCTTTCTCACAACAACCTTATAAATAAGATTTATTTAATTTTGAAGATCATGAAAATGAGTCTTAGGGTGGTAAAGTGACTTGTGGAAGATTCAGCTAATAGTTACTAGCTGAGTAACTCAGATTCGAGTCTTCTGCCTCCTGGACTTGAGCTCTGTATATCATACCAGATGCCGTTCTGGTCTCCTCAAGAAGACCTCTCAGAAGTGCCCCAGCATCTTTGGCGATGTCCCCCTCTTGGACTGTGCATTTTTTTCAAGAGGTCTTCTCAATAGGATCTCCTGGCTGTACCTGAGACCAGACTACTCAATGGCCTCAAGGGGTCCTCTCTCCAGACAATTAGTTCACAGTTGCTTTCTCAAGAGCATCCCTTGCATTCAGCTCAAGGTCCTATGTGACATCGGTGCAACCTCACCAAGACCACATTCTTGGTCCTGCAGACTCTTGCTGTGGTGATCACCTCACCCTCCCACCCCCTGCATACACGAGCTGTTTGGCTGAACAGCTACATATATAGTCTGGAAGTTCTTAAGATATTTCTAAATGTATCTTAATATTTATGTTTCTCTTTGTGTACCCCCAAAATGTTACTGCATCTATTAAACAGCTTTCTGGAGCCCAATTTCAAATCAGATATACTTGGAAAAATGAAAAAAATGTTTAAACTACTTCTGAATCAGTTGTGAAAACAAGAGCATATAATCTAGTGTCCTTTATAAAACCTTTATAGATACTGACAGATGCTGGAGAGTTGCCTCAAAGAATATTGGCTTTTGCTCTGGTGTCAATAAACAGTGATCCTCTACATGGAAAGAACTGCCTATTGAACTCAGTAAGCTCTTCCCTCTGTATTTAAGACCCACAAGTATGCTGTTTAAACTTGCTTTTCAGTCTCTTCTAGCATCAGATCTCAAGGCTTCACCTAATATGGGTTACTTGCTTTTACTTGAACATGCCTTTGTGTTCACATTTCATGACTTTTTCAGGCTGATCCTTTGACCTGGAAGAATAAAAGTCTAGTTATTAATGAAAGCCTACATTTGGACAAGCATCTCTGTATGTATTATGTTTTCTGGCCTTTACAATAGCCCGTCGCCATTTTACAAGTGAAGAAAATAAAAATTCAGGAGGGAACCACCTTACTGAATGTCTCACTCCTGGAATGAACAAACTTGGGATTTGGATTTAGGCTTCAGTATTTCACCATGCCATAACGCCTCTGCTGGTACAATTTAATTGACATTCAGAGAAAGGTACTTTCCAAAAATACAGCCACATGTTTATGATGTGGTTTAATGAAATTACATATTAACAAACTGCTGTAAGTGTTGTTGGGATAAAAGAGTAAAGAAAACAAAAGAATTTAGACCTATAAACAGCAACAAATAGAGAATCATCCTTCAAACACACAGTATTTCTTCAGAGTAGTACATTCCCCTCCTCTTTTTCTAATACTTGCTCATCAGTAAGCTCTTAAATGCCACTTTCTATTAGGGACCTTTCCTGACCGCCCCTTTAGAAACTGGAATAAATGGTCCTGCCTTGGGATCCTGTGGCTCGGATTTCTTGATCATAGCAGTTGACACAGCATTATTCCTTGTTTAGTTTCCTATCTTTGCTGTTAGATTGAGAGCTCTGTAAGGGACAATGATGGTATCTATTCTTTAATGTATACCGGCACCATATGTATTTTCTGGAACATGGGAACCATTTATATTTGATGAGTGAAATAAAGAGACTGAGAGACTGAGGAAGGGAGAGAAGGGGGTGGCAGAAAGCCCTTAGACTCTAGAGTCGAACCAAACTTAGCCATTTATGAGTTTTTTACTTTGAACAGTTGCTCAGCTCCTCTCAATCTACAGTTTCTCATCAGAAAAAGGTCATATTTGCTAGAATAACAACTATTTTTAAGAGGTCTTATGAGGTGCCCTGAACACAGTAAAAAAATCTTAAAAATTTCTTTTTCATATCTGATTATGTGGTATTGTCTTGGAGTTATTCTGGGACTCTGGAGAAACTGTGTTTCCAGTGTTTTGGGAGCATTTCCTTTGATAACACTCCACGTTCTAACCATGCAGAGAGCCCTTGGATATTTCAAAGTCAACATCACAAACTTGAATTCACTGTCTCTTTTCTCAAGACTCTTCTCCTTCCTTTATTTCCAATTCCTGTTAAAGGCACCATCATCCACAAAAACACAAACTCAGAAATAGAAACCTTGTCTCCTACCGTTACCACCCTCATTGTTTCTCTTAGTCTATAGCAGTGCTTCTCAGCTAGGCATCATTTTGCCTTCCAGGGGCTATTTGATGCTGTCTGGAGACATTTTCGGTAGCCACAATGGGGAAAAGGTGATAGTATCTAGTGGGTAGAGGCCAAAGATGCTGTGAGACCTCCTACACTGCACAGGACAGCCCACTTCAGCAACAAATTATGCCGCTCAACATATGAGTGGTGCTGAGGTTGAGAAAAACTTGCTGTAGAGCGAGGAGTTAGTAAACTTTCAGAACAGCATTCTAATAATTGGTCCTTGAAACTGCTGGCAGTACTGCATAATTTGCTGTTGAAAAAAAAAAAAGGGCTGACTTCTTCCAGAAAGTGCTGTAATTACCCTACATTCCAGTAGAATTGTGGCCAGTTTGCTGGTGAGATCCGAGGTTGACTGTTTTATAAGGAGTTATATAGATTCTCTAGAGTTTCTTTTGAACAGCAGTCTCAAAGGGTAGTCCTGGAAACTCTGGAGGCCCAGGAGACATTTTTAGAGAGTGTTCAAAGTTAGATTTTTACAATAATATTAAGATGTTATTTGCCCTTTACACTCTTTATCTTCTGAGAGTGGAGTTTTCCAGAATCTACATGACATACAACATTGCCAAACATTAAATTAAAAAGCAAGTATGAGTATCCAGCTGCTTTATATTAAACCAGACATTTAAGAGATTTGGAAAGTCATATAATAATGCTTTCTTCTCATAATTTTTGCTTTTAAAATATATGGTTATTTTTCATGAAAATTTTATTCATGTTAACATATAATGGGTTTATTATTGTTTTTGAAACTAATTAATAAATAAATATCTTGAAAGTCCTCAGTTTTTATTTCTAACATAGGAAATATCATTAGGTATAACCCATATAAACAACTACTTTGGCATCCTCAGTAATGTTTAAGTTTAAAAGGGGTCAACAGTTCAAAAAGTTTGAGAAGTGTTATTGTAGTGCAGTGTTTTTCATACTTTATGTATTTAATGCACATATTCTGATTCAGTAGGTATGATAATTAATTTTATATGTCAACCTGACTGGGCCATGTGGTGTCCAGGCATTTGTTCAAATATTATTCTGGTCATGTCAGGGTGTTTCTGGATGTGAATAACACTTGAATTAGTAGACTGAGTAAAGCAGACTGCCCTCCTTACTGTGGGTGGGCCCCATCTAATCACTTGAAGGCCTGAATAGAACAAAAAGGCTGACCCACCTAGAGTAAGAGGGAACTCCTCCAGCCTTGACTGCCTTGAGCTGGGACATTTGCTTTTCCCCTACCTGCTGACTCAAACTGAAACATCAGCTCTTCCTGAGTGTCAAGCGTGTCATTTAGACTAGAACTACACCCTCTGCAATCCTGGTTCTCAGGGCTTCAGAATCAGAGTGGAACTACACTATCGGCTCTCCTAGGTCTCTAGCTTGCCCATTGTACACCTTGAGATTGTGACCTTCCATAATCACATGAGCCAATACCTCATAATTAATATTTATTTATTTATCTATTTATGTATTCGTTTATTTATTTATTTGAGTTATAGTCAGTTTACAATGCTGTGTCAATTTCTGGTGCACAACACAACTTTTTAGTCTTACATGAACATACACATATTCATTCCCATATTCTTCCTCCCCATGAGCTACCACAAGATCTTGTATATATTTCCCTGTGCTATACAGTTTAAGCTTGTTTATCTATTCTATATATACCTGTCAGTATCTACCAATCTCTAACTCCCAATCTTTCTCTTCCCACCCACCTCCCCCCCGGCAACCACAAGTCTGTATTCTTTGTCTGTCAGTCTGTTTCTGTTTTATATTTAAGTTCATTTGTCTTCTTCTTTTTTTTTTTCTTTAAATTTCTTTATACCTATATATCTCCTATTGATTCTGTTTCTCTAGAGAAATCTAATACAATAGGTCTGGGATGGGGCCTGAGATTCTGCATTCTAACATCCTCCTCAGAGATTCTAATGTTGCTGGTCCTTGGACCACACTTCTAATGGCAAAGGTCAAAGTATCATCACCTGGTAGTTTATTGGAAATATAAAATCTCAGATCCTGCCTCAAACCTGTAGAATCAGAATCTGCATTTAAACAAGGTCCCCAGGTGATTTGTTTGCACTTTAAAATTTAAGTGACACTACTCTAGGTTAGTTGTTCTCAACCCTGACTACTTAGTAGAATCACTTGGATAGCTTCAAAAAAAAAAAAAAAAGATAACTGGACTCCACCTCAATCAAGCCAGACCGATTAAATCAGAATCACTAAGAATGGGGACTGGACATCTTTATGTTCTAAGTGCTATGCAGATGACATTAATGTGCAGTCATGAATGAAAATCATTGGTCTAAATAAAAGACTGAAGATCGACAGTTGCAGTCTATGAGGCTTTAGAAAAAAGAAAATTAATTACCCAGGGTATGAGGTAAGAGTAAAAGATGTCAATTAGCCACTTAGTGTTTTTGGATATATAGTCAAAAGTTAACCAAGCAGCCAAGCTCTCAGATAAGACACCAAAGGAAATTATGGCACTACTGGCTGTAATAAGAGATCATATGACTTTTTATGTGTTTGATTTTTTTTTTTTTCTGGATTGGGGACTTAGCATTGAATTTTTACAGAAAATTCTTTCCAAGTCCAGAATTCCTAAATTGTTACGTGCTGTGTTATATAGAGTAGACTCACAGAGCTGGAAGGTTTATTAGGGATTATCTAGTCTAACTGCTTCATGTATAGATAGGGAAACTGAGGCTGAGACAGGCCAATTCACTCACATAGTCTAGTGGAGGCAACAGACCTGAGTTCAGCTCACAGTTCTTATACCTCCTCTGGAGTCATTCTTTTGTTCCCAGAACAAGCGGCTACACCATGGCTAGCACCACCAGCAGTCTAGAAGTACAACAATCAGATCGGTACAATGATGCCGCCATTGAAATTTTGCTGACTGCTGAGTATTTTATGTATATACATACATATATACATATATATACATTTTATAATTCAACAACTGTTTAGTGAGCCTCTGCCAAGTGGTGTTAGAAATTTAGTAGACATCATTTGAAGTTATTTTGTCATCCTGCAATTACTTGCAAATCTCCTGATTTCCACGTCAGTGTTTATTTAACTGCATGTCCCACTGCCCTCCTTGGCAGATGAAGAGGGTTGAAAAACTGAACTACTCACCCAGCTGACAAAGTGGGACTGGGACCTTGATCCTGGACTGATCAGACTGCTCTCTCTGCAAACAGACTGGAGCCTGAAGAACAGAAAGTGATGTTGGAAATCCTTAGTAACTAGAAACTCCTCCCAGCTTTTCCTCCTTTCTCTGAAAATAGAACTCCTTAAAGAGAGAGAGAGAGAAATAAAGGAAAGAAAAGAAAAGGCACACTGTTTGATGTACTGTATGTTGGAGGGTTCTGGAAAAATTTATAATGTGTTCTGTACTCAGAGACAAAATTTTCCAAAAGGACATTTATACTATTTCCTTCCAAGAGTCTGCATCCTGTTATTCTCTGGAAGAAGTGACCTCATGGTGTTTGTATTTGTCTCTTTCACAAAACCTCTTTTACAGTATTAATGCATGTGCAGATCTTAGGATATGTAAGACATGAGGCTCTGACTTTGGCAGGTCATTCAAAGAACACGCTGCTACTTTCACGCTGGCGTCATCTTGTTTTATAGCGGCAGAGGGTCTGGGAGTGGGAGAGCTGGCTGGGAGGAAGTTCTATGCCAAGTGACTTGGAAAATATATGCCACAGCAATCTAAAGAACCTAATAAAAGCGAAAGAATATTAACTAGTGATACATGTTATTAGTCTCCGAGGAACTGACAGTAATCACTGTAATCCTTTACAGCCCATTAGAATTATAAGGTGATTGCTTGCACATTACCTCATTTGTTCAATGCTTTGCAGTTTATAAAGTACTTCCTCATAGATCATCTTGGTTGTTTCTTCCAACATCCACGTGCGCTATGCAGGACCACTATTATCCCAAATTTAAAGAGGAATGAAAACTGAGGCTTGGAGATAGGTAAATAAAAATAATGGAAATTCTTTGACATAGAATTTGATCACATCGAAAACCCTTTTTATGTACAGGAATTCATTTGGTTTCCACAACAATATCTGCAGTAAGTAAAATTATTAATCCCATTTTGCATATAAAGAAGCCAAGAAACAGAGTAAATCACTTACCCCAGATTTCACAGCGAATCAAGTGGCAGAGTGAGAAGTTAGATCTAGACCGACTCCTTAAAAAGTGCTCCTTCCACTAAATGAAAGTGCCTTTTTACAGAGCAGGGGCTTGGAGGCAACCAGACCTGCATATAAATCTTGGCTCCTGCACAGGTGGACTGTAGGGTGAAGTCTGAGAAACTACTTAAGCTCGCTAAGCACAGCTTTCTGATCGGTAAAATGAGAAAAGTAATTCCTACCTCATGGGATTCCTGTAAGGAAAAAATGAGCTCATGTTTGCAAAATGTTTAGCATAGTGTTTGACACGCAGAAAGGGCCCAGTGACTGTTATTGTAATAAATTTTATCACTGGCCACCATTAACACACAAGCCCCGCCCATCCCAACTTTAGTCTCACCAGTGCTGCTCAACAGTTTTGGCAAATGTCGCTTGTTTTTTTTGCAGCTGAAGCTGTGGACTCCTCTCCTCCGAGCAGTGCGCGAAGAGCTACGTTAGTCTCTGCAGCAGAAGTCAGGATTCCGAGTGCCGCCGCTTTCGTCTCCTTCCTTTTACGTCCCTTCGAACCCATACGAGCCCTCTCGTTTCCAACCTCTGTTCCCAGCTGCAGGTCTGGGTGAACGGAATAAAGTGAGAACTACACTCAGAAGAAAAACAATCTGAGGCTGTGTCATAACATCTGGTTAAAATTCCAGAGCCCCAGACCCCACACAAAGCAGCTGCGGCTCATGTTACTGGGCATCTCGTCGACCTCGCCTCTCTCCGCAGCATCTCTAAGAAATGAAGTACCTGATATTTAAGGCGGGTCTGAGGCAAAGCAGCCCTTGTAGTCAGGGAATACTGACGGTGTATAGAGTTCAGTCCCAATCACTTATTGGTTAAACACGCTGCTCATTCTCAGAGCATGTAGATCCTTCCCAAGTCTTTCCCCCTCTTCCATGGACTCAGCACCTTGTTGCGTCAGCGTGATCCTCACCACGGTCCGCCCACCACGGTCCCTTACAGGTTTGTCGCCTCCGCCTCTGACACTCCCTGACATTCTCCGTGCATCCCACTCGTCCTGAGATGTTTTGAGTTCTCCAAATGCAGCCTGCCTCTCAAATTTTAGTGCTTTCGCACAAGTTATTCTTTTTACCAAGAATTCTTACTCATTGCCTGAACTGTTGTTGAAAGATGAGTTCCTATTCTTGATGATGCAGTTCATGTAGCTTTTCTTTTAAGAAACGTCTTCTGGGGGCTTCTATTCCTGAGAGGCTGTCTGGGTAACGCTGGTGTTTTTCTCTCTTCTCTCACCACCTTGTATGACCTTTAACTGCTATACATATATTTATGTTCACGTCCATTTCCTTCACAAATCTCTGAGCTCCCTTGGAGTAATTTTTTCTTTTGATGTATGATGAAACCCAGTGCTATGGTAGGGATTTAATAACTCTTTTGAGAGACAGTACGGAAGTTTTGAATCTTAACCGTGTTTATACACTAGACACCTTTGGTGCCTTGGGCCTTCAATACTACTGTGATTCCTTCTTTCCTTTCTTTCTTTCTTGTCATCATTTCATAGTTGAAGAAAATGTTAAATTTTAGTTAAAGATTAGAATGAAAATGACCGTTTTTTTTTCGGTTCCAGGTCAATGGACCCCTTGAAGTCTATCCACACATTCCTGATTAAGAACCCCTAGAACGTATGGAATTTAGAATCAAACAGACTGAGATTAAAAATATTAACATCTCTCTACACTAAATAAATATGAGCTGAGACTTCTGATTGTTATAATACTTAACTGTGTGTGATGTGAAAAAAAATCCGACACTGTCTGTGATGGTGTCTAACAGGTGGCCACAGCTACATCAGTACTATTTAGCTGTGTTACTACTAACTGTCATTAGTTTATCGAGACTTCATGGGACAATGAGAGAAGCCCAAATACTCCGGATTGAATCTCAGCCTTGACTTTAATTCATTATGTGACCTGGGCCCCTTTAAATGTCAGTTAATTCATTTGGAATATGGGGCTAATAGTATCTATTATGAAGCCTTTTTATAAGACAGTAAAAAATGCGCAAACATAGGGCTGGAAAATAAGAAACGCCCCATAAACAATCAAATGAATGACTGACTGACATTTTAAAACGTAATGAATTCCACTTCCTTGGGTCCAACAAATTTCACTTCCCAGTGAAATTATAAATTCTCAAAAAGATAATACTGATTGTATCTACACATTCAAAATAAACTATTTTAAAATTGAAAAGTTAAAATTTAAAGGTGAAGTCAACTTTACTTCTTTTTTTTACAAACACCTTTTTACCAGATTCCAAGATTTTCTGGAAAAATCTGAAGTGGGGAATTGGTTAAATAAACAAAACATATTTCAGTTAAAAGAGCAATACAATTACAAGAAAATGAATTTTTTAATGGAGAGAAATACTTATTGGTAAACTATTTTATATATAAAACTTTTTTTTTAACATATTACCTGGGGACACATAGTTCAAACAATGGAGATAAATACCAGTAAATATGAAATACTTTGAAAAATCAGCTAATGAAATATCCAAATACTTAACCAATGCAAGGGTAAATATTTATTAAACACAGGTGCCGGTGACATCTGGAGAAATGGAGCAGTCAGATTCCACAATCTGATTGCTCAGAACAGGGATCCAGATCCTGAACCACACCAGAGATTTGCTATTTGATTGACTATTGCACTCCCCGCAGCTGCCCATCTGTGCTCCAGTGTCTCAAAGGCCAGAGTGGATGGCATGCATTGCATGTGAGCTGCACGACTCTGGCCACCCCAGAGGGCTCGCCCTAAATCTCTAGCTGATGTTTAACATGAAAATAAAACATTAACAGATGCTGTGTCTTAACTTTGCCTGCTGTCCGTCTTCTCCAATGAATTCCTCTTGGCCAATGATCATCTGACTGTAGCCTTGGAAAGCTGCCTGTTAGAGTAAAGGGAGGCAAAGAGGAAGTGGGAGAGGAGAGAGAGAGAAAGAGAGATAAAGAAGCAGAAGCAAGGGAGAAAGAAAGAAAAATATCTTGTGTTGTGCTGGGAAACTAAGAAATCTGGAATGTAGTTCCACTGCAGTCATTAACTTGCTGCGAGAACTTGGGAAAGATACTTCCCTTTTCTGTGCCTCAGTTTCCTCATCTATAAAATGAAGCAATAAGATAAGATGGACTAAAATCCCTTCTAGAGCTAGCAGTAGTAGTCACAGCTTAAATTACAGATTTAAATTACCATCTATCCTATACAACTCTAGCCTTACCAAAACAATAAAATCTGTAAAACTGGATAACCTGGGCATTTGGATAAATAAGTTTTATTACTCCACTAAGAAAAGGAAGGAGGAGGCCAGTACACAGCATGCTTCCTATGTGTCATACGCTTTCATAAAGTTCTCATTTTGTTATGGAAATGACAGGCCAGTCAAGAAACAAGCACCACTCGGAGGGTTGGAGTACTCAGATGTATTACGCCGGTGGGCTCAGAGAGGCTTCTGCTCCGAAGCTCTGAGCACCTCCAAGACATGCACATGAGGTTTTATAGGATAAAGTACAAGCTTGGGGTATTCAGCCAATAGGCATGGAACAGCTTTAGCAGCATTATCATCACAAAAGTGGAGGCAGGGAGGCAGCAAACCAACATTCCAAAGCCAGATATGTATCATTGAAAACCCAGCTGGCTAGCAAAAAACATGAACAGCAAACCAACACTAATTAACCTAGATTTACAAGTTAGTCTAGCAGAACTCAGATCAGTATTCCAAAACTTAGATTTGCGAGTTATCTTGTTAGCCCAGCCTGGCTTTTCCTTCACAATTTTACATGATGACAAAAATGTAAGTAGTCTTTCCCCATTTTAGAGAAGAGTAAAATTAAGTTCTAGCGTTAAATAACTTGATTAAGTTCAGGATATTAATTAGCAAAGTTAGGACTTGATTCCTTGCATTTATTTACTCATTCCCGCAATAAATATTGTTGAGCACCACACAAGGCCCTGCATTAGATATAGGATTAAAACAGGGGACAGCGCCTCCATAGCTCAAGCTTCTTTTTCTACTACAGTGAAGGTATGCTCTTGCCAGAATATCATGAGAATGTCGATCTTTGGTGTTCTGAGGCCGTTTTCAGCATGGGTAATAATGGGGCAGGGGGAGCGGGGGGGGGATCCCCACACCTCCAACAAGCAACTCTCAGAACACCAGCTGGGTATCCCGGAATTCAATTCTGACACTCTTGACTCAGAGATAGCATCAGATTCCACAGGTTGAGGGCTCAGCCCTGCAGAACTGCGCACCCACTCCCTTCTCACTTCAAAGGCCAGTCAAGAGCTCCAGGCTTCTTACCTGTGCTGCTGACCTACTGGCTATAAATCAGTGGTTCCCATTGTCGACTGAAATAAATGCGCAGCCTGAAAGCTGAGAGTTACGTTTTATTTGGCGGACGTTTCTGAGGACTTGAACCCCTTCGAGCCCGGGATGACAGCCTCTCAGATACGCTAAGGGACTGCTTCCAAGAGGTAGGGGAGGAGCTAGGATACACAGGAGCTTTACAACAAAGACCAGGTAGTTGGAACATTAGAAGATTGCTTGTTAATTAAGAATCAGGCGTCTCAAGTTAAAGAATTGAGCGCTTTTCTATGTATGAGAGGAAGCAAACATTCAGGCTCATTGAATTCATTCATTTGGCAAGCACCTAGCTGCCTAGGGCCAGTATCTTGTCCTTTATTATTCTGAGTCCCCTCAGGGTGCACCATTGTGAGTGGCTGCAAAGGCTGGGCTGCAGGCTTGTTTTCACTGGGGGGTGGCGGCAGCCGTAGATGACTCGATGGCTTCAGCATTCTTTGTTTACTGATATGGTTTGCAGTATTTTTTGTTCACATCATGACCCCACCTCCTCATGTTGGATTAATTTGCTATAGTGGCTTGCAGAACTCAGAGAAACGTGTTACTTACTAGATGATTGAGGAACACCCTGAAGGAGATGCGTAGAGTGAGGAATGGGGAAAGAGCATGGAGCTTCCGTGCCCTCTCATGGACACCATTCTCTCTAATCTTTAGGTGTTCGCAAACCAGAAACTTTCAACGTCCTGTCCTCTTGGGTTTTTACAGAGGCCTTATTAATAGTCACGATTGATTAAATCATGGGTCACTGGGAATTGATTCAACCTCCAGCTTCTCTCACCTCCTGGGAGACAAAAGGTGCTACTGAAAGTTCCGACCCTGTGTTCCAAAAGTCACCTCGTTCATATAACAAAGACAGCTTTATCACTCCAACACTTAGGAAATGCCCAGAGTATTAGGAGCTGTGAGTTAGGAACTGTGGACAAAGATGACATATATATGAGAAATATATTTTAGTTATCTAAATGATCAAATACATTTCTTATAAATCACAATATTGCAGTCAAGGAACCAGATAATTTAAATTTTCCAAAATACATCAACTATTTGGGAAAAGAGATCCTTGAGTCACTGAAGAGTAGTTTTCCAACATTTAGGCTCTGATTTTTTCCATTTTCCATTTAAAACATGAAATTCATAATGAGGAAAAGCGGATCTGTTAGAGCAGGCAGATAAGCTAATATGAGCAGAGAAAGGGGGGCCATGGGCCAAATGGCAGGAAACCACACATCTTGTGAACAACGGGGGTCCGAAGGTAGACAAAGAAAAGTAGGAACCTCCAGACTGATAACAAACAACACATTCTGGGGTCACAAGTGTCCTGGAGGCAGACAAAGCCACTGTGTTAAGTGCTTTGAAAGTGCTACACCATTAATCTTCTCAATGACTCTTTAACATAGATATTATTAACATAGATAGTATTACTATTATTTCCATTTTGTAGATGAGGAAGTCTGAGAATTAGAAATGCTAAGTAATTTGGATAAAGACACAGAGAAAAAGTTAATATTCAAAGCCAGATTACTTTGAGTTGAAAGTTAATGCTCTTAGCATGTAATCTCATACTCATTTTAAGATCTGAAGCCTAAGTAATTAAAGGATAGATACAATTATTAATACCGTAAAAATTAAGCTATGAGCTGATTTGGGACAAAGAAGATGAGCTAAGT